AGAGTTACTGAAATTCAATTGTCAATCACATTCTGTTGCTATCTATAGTTGATCAAATTCTATTACTGCCTAAAAATACTTCAAACAACTTAATGGATAATTTTGAATCGCTTCAAACGGGTTTTGTTTTTTTTCTTGAATCGGTTCAACTGTTTTTTTGAATCCATTTTCAAGTAAGGTAATTTAAACCAAATTAACAGTATTATACCTGTGTAATATACAGCCAACGCGTCAATGAAGTATATCTTTAGAAATCGATGGTATATTTTAAGCCTGCCTAATGTTAGCCTATATTTTGTCAGTACTTGCTACTTTGTTTTAAACCCAGATGTTCTGATCACAGGAAGTGTCCTATAAGTCCATTAATTTTTATTGATTCATTCAGATGGTTCTCTTTGAGTCTTTAATTTCTCTACGCCTTCATATATTTCAAATTGGTTACGTTCTCACCCACGAGTTTCCTATTGGTTGAAGTTATTATAGTGGGACTTGTAGGCAGTATTTGGATGGAGTTACATTTTAATATAAATGTATATTAAATCACTTAAAGATGTCAGAGATAAACTTGACTATTGCAGGTCTTTCTTTTAGCTTCAAATGTTATATGAATTATTATTTATTAAAATAACAAGCCTATAATCAACCCTCGAAATTTAAAACTTTTAACGATACAATCGCGGTTTTCAAGAACCATTGGACAATGAACAATCTGCGATATATCTTCAAACAGTCAGTCATAACATCGCTCAGTATAAAGTAATTTGAATGAAATGTTCAATATATTCATTTTTCATTATCTATTTTTGAACTATTATAGGTAGAACGTCCAGGATTTTATCAAATCTTACATAATATATCTTTCATACAAGATCGGGTGTTCAATCCCTGCATTGGCCGAGAAAGTTCATCCAGATTTTCCGGCGTGGTTTCTCCCTTGTCAGTGATGCAGGACGGAGTGCCTGACAAGGACAGCTGTCTAGTCGTTCGGATTGGACGAAAAACCGAGAAACCGAGGCCCCGTTCACACATTGGCGTGCACGTAAAAGATCCACTGACAGTTGGAATTCGATATAAGAGTAGTCCGTACTGTCGCTGTCCGGGCAAAATGGCTCTCATAGCACACACTGTTTGGCGTATGCCCGTCTTCATTAGCCCAGTTTGGTGCAGAACAGCAGGACGTTAAACCCCGTTTCATTTCATTTCATTTATATTTTGTTATACGGCGATTTGTTTTTATTTGTAACCTGTCCCGGGGCGGTGACAACTCAGTTTTGGTGAGTTTTTTTTTTCATTTTTGAGTAGTGTCGTTTTTTAATTTGTTCTTTTATATTAGTGAAGTTTTCGGCATATATCATATTATTTATGACAAGTCCATAATATACATATAGCTTTCATTCACTTGTGGATATCCCAATATTAATTTACTATATTACGTTGAATATAAATGATTGCTGTATTTCTAAAAGGAAAGACAAATTATTAAATTGATATCTAATAATTGGAAAGTAACCATACACTGTAAAAGATCGGTGCAGTTAAAACCATAAGCAGTTTGCGATTCAGATACATCCATCACGTGTAACAGATACTAAATAAACGATCATGTATAATTGTAGACACCGACGGCTTGAAATGTGTTTTAGATGAACTATGCCCCTATGTGTGTATACCGCAATAATGTTGTTGTTCTTAGTGTTTAATGTCCGCTTCCACCAAAGGTGATATCGCAATAAAGTTGTCTTATTTTCATTTTTATTATCTTAGCGCACTAGCAGGGGTTTTTCCTGTTGGAGGAAACCGGAGTACCCGGAGTAAACCCACGAGGTTGAGAAGGCGCCCCTATCTCCAAATCACATACGCTCACAACAGGGATCGAAACCATAACCTAACCGCAAGCCATAGCTGACCAGCCAGCTAGAGGTCGAAGCGCGGCACTCTAGCCCACCAGGCGATCCCCCCCCCCCACCAACCCTTTCTTCAATTATGTCTAAAGGTATAATTTAAAATGGGGAAATATGCATCGTATAAAGAACTGTAATTAATCATCCAAATTAATAATTGCTCAATTGTAACTCATTTTAGCGTATTTATGCACCGAATATTATGGTGTATTGATTATATTTTCTTTTTTTTTTTTAAATTTAGATAACATGCATAAATGAGTAAATTACATTATACACCTATTAGTGCGCATATATTGATTGTACATAAAGTTATATTGGTCGCATGTATTGGATTGTACATAAAGGTATAACGGTCTAATTGTTGTGTGAGAGAGAGAGAGAGAGAGAGAGAGAGAGAGAGGGGGGGGGGTAACTTCCACTGGATACAAACTAGCTCATTTCGGGACCAACATATGGTTCAATTTTAATTCGATAATTCGCTTGAGCGTAGGGGCCTTTAGCAGTGGGAGAAAACCGGAGTACCCGGAGAAAATCCACGAGGTTGGACAAGCGACCCTACTCTTTGTCCCACCCCCCCTCTAATTGTTGAACACCAGCCTGGTGGAAATTTGTAAATTTAAAGTTGTAGTTGAATAAAGTCTATTTGACGATGGTCTATGTTTTTCTACCAGAAAGGAAACAACTACCTCCTATATCCTGAAGCACAGTTTACGGTTGAGAACCGAATAAACACTCTTTCAGTGTGTTTCTTTTACTGAATAGATGACCTAGTTCAAAATTTGCACTCATACATGTAGAATTCAATGTGTTAATTAGATTTCTTTAAGTTCCTGTAAAATAAGAGTTTTTAAAGCCAGAGAATTTCTGCCGTCACAGCGACGATATGTAATTTTTATCGGACTAAACGCTCTAAATAAACAGACATTTTAACTGTGACTCTTAGACGTTATTCCATGAAAGCGTAATTGCCGAAAGAGTTATGTTATGAAATTTGATTTATGATTTACGTTTCATATTAGATTACAGATCCGAATATTTATATGAATCAGAAAGATGTATTAGTTTTGTGTTTATCAGACAATTTCTGTCTGTTATCGAAGTCAACATATTGTACAGGTTTGATAACCCCATCCATCATTCTAGGATAATAGTCCAATAGACTACATTTATTCCAGATGATCGGCATACATCTTTACATTTATTTGATCAATAATAGAATATAAAAATTGATTTAAAATGTGTTTATTTGATTTTACTATTACAATGTAGCCTTCCCAACAACTGGTATTCCGCTATACACATCCAACGTGAGCCGGATTAAAGCAAAACAGGGCAAAATAATGTCTGCTTCTTAAACGGTTCCATGTTTCATAACTAGATTGTCCTCTACTTCTAACGAACGAAAACGGTGGTGGCTGCTGCAATAGTATAATGTGTTTCTTGTTTTTCTATTTAATTGGTATATAATTATATGGAAATCATCGTTTTGGTAATCGAGTGTTACTGCTTAAATCATAACAAGAAATAGTGTGTTAAATGAAACGTATCCTTGCCTGTAATTGGTAATCATAATTCGGACAATTAAATTGTCTTTTGTCATAAAAATATTGTATTACCCAGGGGCGTAAATGTGTAAGGGGTGGGGGTGAAAAAAAAAAAAGTCGGTCGCAAAATAAGTACAGTCGGTCGCTAAATAAGTGCATTCGGACCCGCTAGAAAACTAGCACCGGCGGTGTTCGGATCCTGACTGCGTCACTCGTATTAGGGGCATATGCATCAGCCGGTCGCATTTTTGCTAAACACCCCCCAAACGAAATCGTTATGTACGCCACACCCTCTATGAAAAATAGCTTGCCAGACAACTTTATGTTTTTGTAAGACCAAAGCATTGATTCTTTTTTATTGTTTTATCCCCGCCCCTTAGCTAAGGGATACTGATTACATGGAAAGTACGCCTACAGCCCCACTTTTAGAAATCCAAGGTTATCCATCGTTATTCAACTTGACTTAAAGTTCATGTATAATATGATTGTTATTGATTTTGTTATTATTTTTTTCTGAACCTTTAGGGGTGCTACTTGGTCTCACGATGCCCCCTCCGCCGCTCCTAACCCATCTTAAATCAGGGCCTGAAAATAGACAATGGCAGCAAATAAGCAAACATTCCACATATTCATAGTTTGAAATATACACTGACTGAAGATTAGGAGAAATCAGTTTTGTAAATAACAACCTAAATGTTGAACATACATTATGCAAGAGCTAAATCTGTCTATTGTAGGTCTTTCTTATTTGTCGAATTTTCACTGGATTTGAATCCGATCTGCTGCTCAACGCTTATTGATGATTAAATGCAAAACTGGATAATCGAAACTATGTTTTTATCATACTGGCTTTAGTAATGATGATGGAGGCTAGGCCTAAAATTCAATCGCTAATATCTCGGTTCAGAGTGAACATATTCCCTTTACATTATATAGCTTTTAACTGACAGCTCGTTATATAATCTTCCATAATGTCCCTTTAATGGGAGAAACACTAAAGATAGTATTTTATAGAATACTCGACATTTTTTGCCCGTTAGATTCAAGTTAATATAGTAAACGTATAATATTAATATTAATATGGTAAAAGTTGTTAATAATCTAGCCCATAAATTAAGTGTTGTGTGTAGAGAGTGTGACGGTGAGCTTAATATACCTACCATAATAATAGGCACGTCCCTGATGAATCAATAAGGAACTTGATATATTAAATACAGCAGTAATAAAGCTTGCTATCAAATACTGATTTGTACATCATCGATACAAGACCAATTTTGCGATAGGATGTTCAGGGAGAGTTACAAAGACTGAACCGAGTTTAAATCGGACAAAGCGCGCTGCTTTCCTAAAGCTGTGTTAACCGCTGCGAGATATTTCTTGTCTTTTTTCATTTACACGAGAGAACACTAGTAAATTCATAGGTATAACGTGCGTGGTACAGGGGTGCTAGGAGCCACATAACACAAACGCTAGACTGGGTAAATACAAGAATTTGCCTATTTTACACATTTGATGGATTGAAATCTACACATTTCTCTGATTATATTTACAGCCTATAGCGGAACGACGCCAGTCATAGTCACTGTGCGGTGATAAGACAAGTTTCTCAACATTACGGATATCTCTATGTATAAATAAGCCCAGATTGTCTACAGTAAGTATTATCTATTCAAAACTATTTATGATTTTATGTATGAAGTTTGTTTAATATTTTGATTACAGTACTATAACTTCAGATTTTATATATGAAATATGTTGATAGTTGATGTCGTATTTAATCGACATTTAATGAAAATAGTAACACGCAAGGTAGGGGGTTTGGGTGTTAGTTGACTAGAATATTTCAATCCAAATCAGATCCGAGAATATTGAATGAATTAAATGGAGCTAAATCTCTTACACAATATTTTCCATAATATTCGAAATTGAAAACACGAATTAGAATTCAATATTGGTTAATTTCAATCTAAAAATGATGTTATTATGTTGCTGTGAAAATACACGATCCTAATATTCAATATTTAAGACACAATTAACATTTTACAATCAGTACACGAGTCGTGAATTCTATGGTATCGGGTGCTATTTTGTAATGAACAAATAAAAATATATCCTACAAGAAGTAAACTATTCACGTGATTGATTAGAAATTATAATATTTGTTTAAAAAATTGAATATAAATCACTTTACATACATTCATAATTACATGTACATTAATGCTTTTAGAACCATTTTCGTCCATTTCAAGGTTCCAAAAACATACACCCTTTCAGGTAATGAGTATTTCTCTTCACCAGCGGCAGTAGGGTTAATGAAGAAATTTTGCCCAGACAGCAATTACATTCCAATTGTCGGGAGTTATTTTACGTGCATGCCAACATATACACGGGATCTTGGCTTTTCGTCCCATCCAAACGAGCAACTCTGGCTTCCGATCCTAGAAGAACATTCAGGGGTTTCGGTGCTCGTATATCTGGTTGACATGGAAACGGCAACCGGGATAATGAGTTCGGGCATATTAATGACAAATGCTATATTACGCATGAAGGATATTTTGCCCAGACAACAATTGAATTCCAACTGTCTAGAGTTCTTTTACGTGAATGCCAACGTGTACACGGTACCTTGGCTTTTTGTCCCATCCGAACAACTAGACGCGTTGTTATTGAACCATCGCGTTAACTATCAAACACCGTTGGCTCCCAATCCCAGAAGAACATTCAGGGGCTTCAATGTATGTATATCTGTTTGCTAGTTAGGGTTAGTTTCGGCACAGTGTACATACATTGGAAGTGCCCATGACATATTCACTGGCAATTGAAAGTTAGTAGAAAAGATAAAAATGACTGTCGTTGATGACATCTTCATGAAACACATAATGGTAAGTCATTCTATTCACCACAATTTCGCTACCATTTTGTCACATTCCGAATTATTTGGTAAAAAGATTTCCTAAATGAAAATAACAAATATCTACTAAATTTCGGTCAATTAGAAAGGCTAATGGCCCTTTTCAATGAGTTGTGGGCCAGCTTCCAAAATAATTTTCACATATCTCCGCCCGGCGTACAGCAAATGTGCCGGTTTTCTGTTGGACCTCCCCATTGCCTCTTCAGAATACTTCTGGATCTGGATCCTTGCGTAGCATATTTGTCTATCTGACAAATTAGAAATTCGTATTCCAGATCACCAACGATATAAAATAATAAAACCACGTTCAACGAAATATTACCTTTCCCAAATGAATTACAAAACATCTTTGAAACAATGGCGTTATTTAACATCCAATAGCTAATTTACTATTTAAGCACCATGACACGGTCTAAGAGCTAGTGTTCGATGCATGACACTTGTTCGTGTTCGGTTCATGTTAGGTTCTGGTAGATATTTATAAATAAAACAACTTCCTAAGATATTCAGGTCGAAATTTTATTAGGACCCTCCGCAATCAGCATCGTAATCTTCTTCAGTGAGGGTTGTTCCTCCATGACAGATTACACCACAAATATATTCTTTTATTGAAATGTTTGCTATATTGTTAACACATGGAAGAAATAAATTAATGCAAAAACCCATCACTCATCCTATTCAATAGGAACATAATTCCTTAAACCCTGATTACACTTGGAATAATGAAAATTGCGCCCCCTAAACACCCATATTCTGTCTACAAGTAATTTAAAGTTCTAGAAAAATACAATAGAAAAAAAATATATGATTAGCATTGTTCGGCTGGTCTTTAGCGGGGACCCTATCCAATTATTCTCTAGCGTAGTTGTTGGACCTTTCATATCGAAACCCTGAAAAGACTCACCAAATCCACCTGCACCCCCCCCCCCCCCAAAAAAAAAACCAAACAAACAAACAAAACACAATCAGAAAACCCCCCAGGTGGTGGAATTATACACTGGACTTTGTAAATCATGAGTTCGTGTTGGTTTACTCAATTAACGTTCATGAAGTTACTATGATATATGTAATGGGTTCATTATAGGTTTTACCACATCTGTTTTTCTATAATATTAATTACTATTAGCCTGCCCAAACAATGTTGTCGCAGATATCGTAATGAAAACACGTTAATTAATTCTAAGATAATCTGTTTAAATAAGTAATCATGCAATATTTTGACGTGAAACCGGAAAGGTTATTAATTAACTATATAATTAACATAATACAAAGGTTATTATTGATATAATGAATTTGTACTCGGTTGTACTTATCCGAATATAAATTTGTTATCATGGTAACTCGTGTACAGTACAAATGTTTTTTTTTATCTTTAACAATAAAACTAGATATTTACATAACAATGTAAAATGCTATATATAGGAAAATATCTAGAATATGAATGATGTTAATATTAATTCGCTGACTTTAGGTGGCAATTATTGGGGGAATATTAAACTACACATCCCATCCCCTGAAAAAAGGTTTTCGGTTAAATACATTACACATATAATTTGAACACACATTATGGCTACGGTAGGTGCGTACCGAAGATTTGAAGAAACGGAAGTGACACAAAAAATGGACAACAAGAGTTATCCTTCTATATAACTGACTGAAATAACGAGCGATAACAGATACACGGTCGAATTTCTGCTCACTGACAATTCCTTCGAAGACGAAAAGTTGTTATATGAGACTGTGAGAGGATATCTGACAATTAAAAAAAAAAAGTGAATGTCACTAGATAAAAAGAAAAGATCTGTACATTCACTTGTTTTTATTCATTCTGTACTTAATAAAAACATGGTAGTGCACAGATCGATAGCGAACTACCAATCCAGGGTGATAGTCCAGTTAAAATCGAATTCCAAACTTTTGATTGAGGGTGTTGCCGAGTGCTGCCTGGTTAGTTCAGCTCTGAACGTAGGTCCCATTACACTCGGCCTGTACGTTCAGGAACTCTCCTATTGAATCCTTGTCGAAATTCCAATGGCTTCCCAGTCAATTTTACTGGGCAACTTTTTACTGCTAAACGGTCGCGTGTCAGTCCCTGTGAACGCATGAACAATATAAATGAACATCTTAGTGAGAAAATAAGACCTTGCTTACCTCGCTAGAGTCAGTATGAGCGACACAACACGCTGTTAAAAATACGTCTTCGTCTTCTAGCCGACTTGGCGGACTTCATTGAAAGGGTAACGCCCAAATTTACTAATTCGGCCATATAAGATGAAACGAAATTTAGGCAAGCCTGGGGGAAAAAAATTGAGATTTTTGAAAGAATTTGATTGTAAATTATTGTAATTTGGCTAGGCAAAGCAATAAATGACTGAAGATTCTCAACTTTTCAAAGATTTTAATTTTTTTCTCTAGCGAGGTAAGCAAGGTCTTATTTTCTCACTAAGATGTTCCTTTACATTGTACAGGCGTTTACACAGATTGACACTCCACCGTTTAGCAGTAAAAAGTTGCCCAGTAAGATTGACTGGAGCGGATCTCAGTTTCGACAAGGATTCAATAGGTGAGTTCCTGAACGTACAGGTCGAGTGTAATGAGACCTACATTAAGAGCTGAACTACTGCCTGGTAGGCAAAGTTGACCCTTCGGTCAAATCAAAACAAAGCCGGATGTAGCCCTTCATATAATCAAGGAAGATAACTAAATTTCCCAGGGTATTTGGAATAAATCCATGTATGGAATGATGACAAATTTACTGGCATAGTTGAGATCGGCATCGTCATCCGTAATTTTTCTCCATTCTTAAAAACCGGTCCGGCGAATGTGGAACAGGTATTGGACCTTTTCACACTTGGCACCTGAAAGGTTTGTTGCAATACATCACGTGCGCAATGACATCAATCGCTGCGCATTGTTGAAGCTAATGGAAACCTTTCCAGAGTTCTACTGAACCAAAAGCAGTTTACCGGAAGTGCTATGTTTGGGTTAGGACAATCCTTGGCACTGTTTCGGTCACTGTCGACATAACGTTGTGTGATCCGATATGTAAAATAACGCCACATGCCTTGTTTGAGAGAACGTCCCATCTAATCACACTGGTGTTAGTTTCGACATCGTGAAAGTCGTTTTTGTGACAAAAGTCTTTAATATCGTGGAGCCAATTTTATTATTGAGGAGGCCCATTCAGGTATATAACAATGCAAATTTGTACCGTCAGTTGAGAGAGGCTGGATAAATCGGCTTTGCCACTACTGATCCGTAAAAGGTTTATTCTGCTCGTAACCCAGGAGGCTTTCTGTGCAAGGGACCCTTCCAATAACTCCACAGGATCAAGTTCCCTTTGTTGACGTACGCGATTAGGGTCTATAGAATTTTCGATAATTTTCAGTATGTACTGGTGTTGTCTTATTTATTTATTTATAATGAAACACCATTCGCTAGTATAATAATTATTACAACAAGCAAAATTATTACAATAAACCATGACACTATTTCAATTTGATGTTTACGCGCGTAAATATATTGTAGCGAACGTGATATTTTTTTACAAGAATTAAAACGCTAATGGCCGATGCTTTTACCCGCGTGTCTAATTAGTTTCACTTCAAAATAGTAACAGAAATGCAATTTGATTGGGACTATATTTAATAAAGGAGCACGGAAATGGTGATTATTTTTTTTCTATAATGATGTTGTACCAAGTGAGCCAAAAGTTCCGTAATATAACTTATTTTATTAGTCAC